GGGATTATTGTGAGATCCATCTCTGACAGCGCCCTGTGCTCCTGCGGCATCCGAGGCTTTTCTGCCTGTCATCGAGGCTCCACAGGGGCACTGTTTGCATCGTGCTCCAGGGGGCGCTAGTCACACAGAATGCGGTGGTGTCTCCAGCTGGCAGGGAGAGAGTGAGGCTTTGTTTGCTATTTCCTGTTCTCTCAGCCTTCCTCTTCCCTTTGATTCATTTTGGGCTGTGCACCTCCACTGTCCTCTGGTTTACTCTGTCCACTCTGGCGCAGTCTTCTCTCATCCGGTAGCCAGTGTTTTCCCTTGGTAAAGTGCTGCAGTCTATGAGGTTTAGAGAGAGGAATTCTTACAGGATCTCTGGGGGAGCGCAGTAGCTCCACCTGTGTGGTGTGAGTTCCTGTTGTCCCCACTAGGTGCTCTTGATCTCTTGTCACTATCCTCACAGCTACAAAGGATGTGCTACTGTCTCCTGAGAACTCTGAACAAGGCAGAGACAAAGAGCCCCTTTGGTCCTCTGCATGGCCTTGACCAGCACTCCCCGAGGCCTTAAGAATCAGTTATGGAAAACAATAGAAATTGATCCTGGAAGTGCACATTGAATAAGTGTCCAGCTTCCAAAGCATTGGTTTCAAAGGCCAAAGTGGGTGGTTGTGGGCATTAAAGGGTGATAGATCCTTACAGATACTTCCCTAGTCCAGACTGACTTCCCAGGCTGGCTTTACTGGTGGGGACATCACCCCTGCCACTCTTTTCTCTGCGATCTATGAGGAGACAGTGGTCTTCGTGGTAATAGTAGATAGTATCTGAGAAGGACCAGTGATCTTGGCAAACAAGTTAGCTAGATAGAAATTAACACCTGAGCTTAAACATTTTAACTGCTTTCAATGGGTCTTGGTGTTTTCATCTGGCTATTTCCTTGATTCTTCAACTCTTGATAAGAAACGCAAACCTACATACAAAGCACATATATGTACATGTGATTTCTGAAAGCAACTAGTAGAATTAGGTATCACTCACTGACTTGGAAAACAATTTTTATTTTCTCTTAGTTACACCTGTTATGTTTTATGTGCTATGGTCTTCTGTGGTGTGGGGGTCCTTCCAGCCAGCCAGCACCAAGAACACTCCAAATGTACACCATGAGCAACTGTGGGAGCCTCATCTGAAGAGGTCAAGAGGGCTTGAGTAGGATTTGAACTTTAGTTTCTGAAGGCTTATGGAAGTGATACTTTGCTCCGGAAGGAAGTGTAAGTATGTTAATATGTTAATTAACATATTATGATAATAAATCTTATTATCCAGAAGGAGAGCGCTCTGGCATGAGGCCAAAGTTATTATTGGTACAGAAGCAGCAACCCCTGGTGCCAGCTGGAATAGGAGGCCATTTGGCTGTTTTGTGGTTTGCACAATGGTCATGTTATTGTCTGTGTTCAAACAAGATTACCGAGAGATCTTGTTTTCCAACTAATTCATCATGATCACAGTGGCTTTGGCTGGTGTTGATGCATTATGAGATCATTAATTTTTAGTACTAGAGTGACAGAGCCTTGCTATGAGTGTCAGGCCAGTTCTTGATGCCAGGTGCTGTCTTCTCTTTAGTGGGCATATGTGGATGTTAAGGCCAAGAGAAGGACAATGTCACATCTGGGTACCAATCCTCCGTCTGGCCTTGCCAAGGACGATTCTCTCCCTCGCTCCTGTTGCAGCCTCTCCTAGGTACAGGCTACACTCCAATGATAGATCTATCCTTTATTAAATTATGTGCGCATTTCCCAGGTTGTCTGTTGCATGCTGGGAGGCAGGCTTTGCAGCCAGTACAGTTCATGGATGTGACTTGTGGTCAGATCTTTTGTTCCCCCCTCTTGAAACCCTTTCTCACTTTGGCTGTGGTCTGCAGTATGGTCCATTTGACTCTACATGACAGGTGAGATGGCTGTAGCCAGTGATGCTTGGTTAAATGCTACACTAGTTTGAATGTGTGGTCCAGTAAGAACCATTGATGCTATTTATTGTATTTATTGTATGATTGGTCTGTTCTAGGAACTTTATTCATGCTATTGCATTTAAATCATACTGTGACCTTTAGATGTATTCAATGTAACTATTTCACAGATGAGAAAACTGAGGCTCAGAAAGGTTAATGGCTTGCTTGGGCTCCCTGGCCATGGATTAGCAGCAGAGCTGGTCTTCAAATTCATGTCTGTGCTTACTCAGACTGGAGCTCCCTCCCCTCTGATGAGCTGTCTCCAGTGTCACCTGTTCTGGGAGCATTCTTGACTGGTTTCCTGTCTCCTCATTACTTCCACATGTAATACACTGAGTTCAGATAGTGCCACTGGCCCCAAACATAATTGCAGGACAGCGTACCTTTGCACTTGTGATTCCCTGGCTTTTGTTCTCAGCTCTCTTCTCTGGAAGGACCTGAGAAGGTTCAAATCTAATTTGTGCCCTGTACACAACATACTGCTGACCTTGCAACAGAGAGAACTTGGGAGCACGCTCACCCCAATGAAAAGTGGGTTTTCCACCAGTGCATCTTTCATTCATGAAAAGGGGCCTGTGTCTCAAATGTCCATGAGGCCGGGAAAGCTCAGCCCATCGGACCCCAAGTGAGCTGCCTGTTCGAGACATTGGAGCTAAGTCTCTGGTATGCCACCCAAGAGGGAAATGCACCCTCTGTCCGCGATGTACTAGACATGACCTGACTGGGGCAGTCCAGGAATCTGGGTGACTCAGTGCTCCCCAGGGCTCTAACTATTTTTGAATTCTGCTGGGTGGCTGATGTCTGATAGATTGAGATGATTTTTGTAGAAAACAGGAAGCCAGCAACAGCAATTAGATGCATTCGTTTGAGTTGCTCAGCAAAGGAAGGAGGCAAGTCTGAAGAAGGCACGTCTGACACCCAGTCTGTTGGGTCCCCTCTTGGGTCACCGCCTTAGCAAATCTGCTGCATTGCAAATGTTGATGACTTCTGTAGGAACAACTTGGGAGAGGGACTGTCACTTTATTTTCCAGCATAGCACCTGCCCCTTAGGAGACGTTCAGTTGGTGCAGCATTCATACATATGTTGAAGGAGAAGATGGGAGCCAGCCCTGTCAACCTGTTGAGTACTTTGCAAGAATTATGTGGTGATTCAGTTGACTCTTGGCCTGAAACAAAATAATAAAAGCTCCCAGAAACTTGAATTTCTTCTGCACGAACAGCCAAGGGACGAGAGTGAATCATCTTGTGACATTCACTTTCAGGCCACGTAGCTCATATTTCCTACCTCTACCATGAAATTTTGATTCCCAGAAATATCCTGAAGTTAACTTTGGTCGTGAGCAGTTTATGGACAAGGCAAATCACAGCGAATGTCTTTTTTTTACTTATGCAGAGAAATGATAACCTCAATCATGTAATTCTAAGCCAGTAAAAACAGAAGCCACACCTTCTATCCTCTTTTCTGGGGTAGTGGCGGTGGTGTGGGCAGTGGGGGGCAGGGGAATAAATGATGCATGAAATCCCCAGTTCTGAATGGATTGATCTGAGATGGATGTCTGTAAAAATTTTTTTAAAAAAAATCAGCTATTTAGGTTCTTCAACTTTTAGCAATGAGCAAGAACTTTGGCTATGTCACGGAAAATGAAGACTTGACTGACTCACCAATGCCTGTGTGTATTTTTACAGATAAAAGGAAAAGCAGGAGGAAATTTTCTTTGTTTTCAAGAATTTCAAGGGTGTTTCAATGAAAGACATTTGGGACTTATTTAGAATCACGGGTTGCCCCTGGCTGATCTATAGTTTCTCCTATAGGTCTGCAACAAAAACGTAGCCCACGTTGTCACCAAGGTCCCTTAGCCACTATTATTTATTTACCTTTAACTTCAGCTCCTCTGTGTTTGCTTTCTTCTCTCACCCCTGCGTGGGTCACACAGACCCTCATATGCAGAGGAGTCGCCTACACACATGACAATGTGTGAAATACCTGTATTGCACGGGAGTACAAGAAACACAAGTGATGACAGATGCCTTGCTTTATAAACTTGATCGATTTGTTTACTGTCACTCAGTAAATACTCACAGAACTCCCACTTTGTGTGGCTCTAACATAACCTCAGGCCCTGGCCTCTGTGTCCCTGTTCTGTGCCTCAGCATGGGTGTTCTCACTGTCTTATGTCACAGCAGTGTCCCTGCCCTGAGTTTGTTGTTTATGGGCTTGTCTACACTGCCAAATCCACCTGCTCGAGAGTGGCATGGCATCAAGGACTGTGACCCTTTGGGCCATGGTTGCTTCCAGGATGTCTAGCACAGTGGCTGGCATATACAGCAGTAAAAACACGTCATTATTAAACAATGATGAATAAATTAATGTATACATAAACACGTGGAGCCTGCCACCAGCTGAGGTGTTTCCCAGATGGTGGACCTGTCCTCAACAGGGAATCTTGTAGAAAAGATGTCTTTTTCAGTGATCTACAAACCATATTGCCTTGTAAGAGGTGAGGTACTTAAGCTCACTTTCCCGTTAGATGGTGAGCTCCCTGAGAACAGGATGTGTTCTGTTTTCCATGGACATCCTCCAGGACAAGCGTACAACCAGTGTTTGGGATGTGTACAGAAAGTATTTTCTGAGAATGAGCTGTTTATAGAACAAGAAGGCTGATGCCATAAAGAAAAAGAGTGGTAATAATGTGACCCAATTGTTTTAGCTGGCTGCCAAGGGTACCTTGGTAAATATTAGTTAATGTGTAGCCTTTGTTTGCTATTAAGATTTACTGATTTCAGTAGAATGGGACCTAAAAACTGAACATGTTATATAACAATCAGACACCAGGGACAATCTCTAACCACATAATAGTTTATAAAATACACACCGGTTCTGTCCACGGTTAGATTAAGTGTCATGTAAGTAAGGTATGTGCAATAAATAACAGGTCTCTGGGTGAGTGATGGGATGGCTTAGTGGTTGAATCTACCCTGTATCCTTGCATTGTCTACATAGGATTCTTCTCACTCTGGGAACAAATAAATCAATAGCTTTGGCTAATCCAGGGTGTGTGAAAAACGCCTTCTGTAAATCCCAGGTTTTCCTGAATAAATCCAACAATAAAGCTTCCTTTAATCTCACTTTCTTACATAACCGTGACATTTATATAGAGAGATTAACGCGGTGTCTCGTTTCTTTCTGGTGTGATCTTGCTTTCATCTCACAAATATGTCCCCATCTATGTTTGTGTAGTTGCCAGCAGCACTGTAAACACTTGGAAAATTCAGCATCTCAGTGTGATTTGGAAAATAAGCTGGGAGATGGATGATAACTATTTCTGGCCCGAAGTTATGTGGCATGACTTAGGAGAACAGCGAGAGAGCTGTAGAGCGTGGCAAAGGAAAGGAGAGCAATACCGGAATCCAGTCCCCACCTGCTGCCCGGGACTCGAGCTGGTGGTTTGTCATATCTTAGCATGACGGTATTCAAGCCATGTGAGGTTAGGGGAGATATATATACCTAGCTGGGGGCTTGGTCTGAGAACAACCACCTACCCTGGGCTAAGCCACACAACTCCACCATGGAATTAAGTGTTTTCAAGCTGATACAAATTAGCATCAGTCAACCGGCTGAAGCCTCAGGTACATTAGACTGGGTCTCAAAGACATCAGCCTGCAGCCGGACCAGCTGCCAACACCACCATTTCCTTGCTTTTCCCAGCCATGGATGCTTCAGGGCAGAATATTTTTAAGATGCTGGTAAGTGCAGACAATCTGGGGAAAGCGTTATAGGCAGCTGGTTGCTTTTGTTTCATCGCTGAATAAAGCCAACCAGATGTTTATTATTAATGTAGTTATGGAAACCCAAACTTATCCAAGAAATACATCAGGGGGCACTTCCTCATTTTACGGAAACAATCTTAATCTTCAAACATGGAACAAATCTCAGAGAAGCTGGAGAAGGGTGATGGAGGAAAAATCGAGAAGATGGTGTTTCTGAAGCCATCTCTGGAATTAAAATGTGTGACAAAGAGAATGTGGATTGTGTTGATAAATATTGTCTTAGAACTGACTGAGGTGAGGGCCACTGTTTGAAGAGATTGGTAAATGCTACGACCTTCCATGCCCCTGCAAGGGGGAGGCGGTGCCCAGAGCTGCAGGCCAGGTGCACAGGACACAGGGTGGGGTTGGGAAAGGGAGGTGATTGTCCCCAAGTGCCTCGCTTGGGGCATCCCCTAATCCTCTTTAAGGATTTGAGGCTCAGGAGGGTTGGGCGGGGGCCCCGAGTGTGTGCAAGTCTGTTCTGTTCGCTGTCTTGTAGCACCTTTCTGTGTGTGTATCTTTAGAATCTGTCCTTTACATTTCAAATCACCACCGCTGTGGTTTTCTTTAGCCTTTTGTGTTTTTATCTAGGTTACAGACCTGAGCAAAACACTGTGGAATGTCACTTTTGTGTAAAATGTTTCGCTAAGTTGGTTTCACTTCCTAGTTTTTAATGAATAAACATATTTTGGGAGGGGGATTTTGAAATCTATTTTAAAAACATATTTGCATTTAATGAAAAATACCATGAAGGCACTCCTAACGCTGGTGGACACACCTTGATTCTCTCCGATGGAGGGGAGAGGCCGTTTGTAAGCCCCTTGCTTCACCATTGCTCACTGCTCAGGGGAAAGTCCCTCCTCTCTCTTGCTGTAAAATGGAAGTGACAAAAAATGTCATCAGTAAGAAACCATTGAGCTGACAGTATTTTGAATAGTCAGTGAATTGTTCCACTTATGTTTATGGAATACATAGTAGGTGCTAATAGATCACACCAGCAGGAGAGATCTAGGAGTGAAGGAAAGCGTGGCTTGGCTTTGGTGGAGGGTATTCAGGGCTCACTTGCTCTAAGGCTCTGGACCCGGGAAGGAAGTGTGAGATATGATGATGGGCCTCTAACTGCTCCTTTGGGAAACATCGGTGAACTATGGAGAGATAGCAGGAAAGCAGGAACAGGTCTGTAGTACACGGAGAAGGCCTCTCACACTGGCTGGTATGTTCTGAACTCTGATCCAAGTACTCATTAAAAAAAAAAAAGAAAAGGAATTTGACCAATTCTGTACTCATCACACTGTGAGTTAGGGAAATCTGACTCTAGCGTGGAAAATTTGGTAGCTGGGACACAGTGTGGTAGCAGTTCCCCTGGACTGGAGGCAGGAAGCCTTTTGCTCCAGCTCTGTCCTGCCACTGGTTAGGTATTTGACTTACGGTGCCATTTAAATTTTCTAGGTGTCAATTTCCTTTATCAACAAATGAGCATGCAAGATAATTTAGGTAGCATGTTTACGAATGCTTCTTTTCTCTAGTTATTTATTTTTATAAGTCACGAAAATATAAACATTGCTTCAGGCTTATGATTTCATAGAAATTATTGCTTATCAGAAGGCTAACTTTATCAAAAAAAGGGGTAGTTTGAAGAATAATATCAAAGAAAAGCATAGGCCATAATTATATTTTAAAACTAATTATGGCCAAATAGTTTAAAAATGTGTCATTGACTGAGGCCTGGAGACACCTTAATACATGATCTCTTGGTGCATGTCCACTTTTATCTTTGTCGTTAGCTTTACACTTAAGCCTTAGAGAAAGCTGCAGCTGGAAACAGCTTCCAAATGCTTGCCCGAGTCTTCAAGGAACCAGGCAGGGTGACGCCAGTTTCACACGTGGCAGGTCTGCATGTTAGTCACCAGGCTCCCTGCTGCTATAGATCAGCTCATTTTTGTTTTTCTCTGCTGTGTTTTCAGATCAGGGTGCTGACAGAAAGGATGTTCAAGCATCTTCGGAAATGGTTTGGTGCTCACTTTTCTCGGCATTCTCGGCAGAGAGCAAGGCTGGTCTCCAAAGACGGGAGATGCAACATAGAATTTGGTAATGTGGACGCACGATCAAGGTTTATATTTTTTGTGGACATCTGGACCACCGTGCTTGACCTGAAATGGAGATACAAAATGACCGTGTTCATCTCCGCCTTCTTGGGGAGCTGGTTCCTCTTTGGTCTCCTGTGGTATGTGGTGGCTTACACTCACAAGGACCTCCCCGAGTTCCATCCTCCTGACAACCACACCCCCTGTGTGGAGAACATTAATGGCATGACCTCAGCATTTCTATTTTCTCTGGAAACTCAAGTGACCATTGGGTACGGATTCAGGTGTGTAACAGAACAATGTGCAACTGCCATTTTTCTACTAATAGTCCAGTCTATTCTCGGAGTTATCATCAATTCTTTCATGTGCGGTGCCATCTTAGCCAAAATCTCCAGACCCAAAAAACGCGCCAAGACCATTACGTTCAGCAAGAACGCAGTGATCAGTAAGCGGGGTGGGAAGCTCTGTCTCCTGATCCGAGTGGCTAATCTCAGGAAGAGCCTCCTTATTGGAGGTCACATATATGGGAAACTTCTGAAGACCACAGTCACTCCCGAAGGAGAAACCATTATTTTGGACCAGACCAATCTCAACTTCGTAGTTGATGCCGGCAATGAGAATTTATTCTTCATCTCCCCACTGACGATTTACCACGTCATTGATCATAATAGTCCTTTCTTCCACATGGCAGCAGAAACCCTTTCCCAGCAAGACTTTGAGTTGGTGGTATTTTTGGATGGCACAGTGGAGTCGACTAGTGCCACCTGCCAGGTCCGCACATCTTATGTCCCAGAGGAGGTGCTCTGGGGCTACCGCTTTGTTCCCATAGTTTCCAAGACCAAGGAAGGGAAATACCGAGTGGATTTTCATAACTTTAGTAAGACAGTGCAGGTGGAAACCCCACACTGTGCCATGTGTCTTTATAATGAGAAGGATGCTAGAGCCAGCATAAAGCTAGGCTATGACAACCCCAACTTTGACATGTCAGAAGTCAATGAAACAGATGACACCGAAATGTAGCAGTGGCCTTCACCACGAAGCTTTTCCAGGTACCTACTGCCTTCAGCATTGTGATGTAATCAACAATTTGGAGTTAGGAATACAAAACAAGAACCTTCAAAATAAACCAGTACAGTGATCCCTAAACTGGGCAACTGTGATCTTACAAGATACATGACTCTGCAGGAATACTGTGTAAGCACTTGTGTGATGCGTTCATATGAAACTGCATGTGAAAGCCCCCGGAGTCCACTTGGAATTTTGAATATGATTATTTTAGGTCATTCTGTGTTGATGGGAGGAGATGAAATCATGAAGAGTCTCATGGACAGGCCAAAAAAGATAGTTTTGTGTTTTTAAGTTTCCTTGAAAACTGAGCTTTAAATAGGATCAAGGGACAACTAGTTTCATTTTGATTCTGGTAGGAAAAAAGTCACTTTTGTTTTAACACTGACTCTTATCAATGGAAAGTTGTGTCGTGAGTTGGAAGAGATGAACAAACAAACCAATGACAATAAGAAGAGACTGTTACACAGTGAATAACTTGGGGATTTCATATTCTCACGCCCTGGTTATTGGAGCCTTCGTCTGAATCTGGATAGTGTGTGTCTTGCTAGGAAGAATGGAAAGCACAGTCCAGGGACACTGTAGGACACGAACTTGCTTTGCTTTATGGTGTATGCAGATACAGCAGCTCGCACTAGGCTTTGTTCCAAATAAAATCCTGCGGTACATTTAGGGGAGGGTAGATCTGTGCTCCAGAGTCTCCAGGAGCTTCTTCTTGCACAATGGAATGCTTGAGTTGGAAACAGGGGTGATATTTCTTTCAGTCTGCATTGGATGGGTTAAGGATCTACAGATCCTGAAGGGTATTTCCTGCTCATTTGAGGCAGTAGTAAGGATTTTGAGAATGCAGTCAGCCTGTACGGAATGCTCATGGTTACAGTTTGTCTGCCTGGGCTTTGCACTGAAATACTATTTCTGAAGTGGGGAAGACAAAAGCAGTAAGATGTGGCCTCGTAGTCAGGACATTCTAAGGCCTTTGTATTTCTAAAAGCCATCCCCCTACCTTCCTAAAGGGACCAATCTAATGGAAGGATTGTCCCTAGGGGAAGGTTTTAATGTGAATATATTACATAGCTCCCAATCTGAATTATTTTGTATGTATCGTGGAAAAAAAATGAAAATCAAAGTTACTTGGGAGTCAAAATGATTCAGTGTGTTAATATATTAAATTTCTGAAACTATGTGTTACTTTCTAGTGTCTATTTTCATGCATTAAATGTGACAGGGTGACTGAAGACAATATTTTCACCCAGGGTGGACTTTCCTGCAAGGCATAGAACTGGCGGCCAGGGAGCAGGCAGATAGGACACACTGGTTGTCTTGACTCCCTGCAGGAAATGAGCTTGGCTGCCGACACGCCCCTTCCTGTACAGCTACATCAATCTGTCCAGCAGCGGTTGCTGGCAGGTGTTGGAATGGGTGTCTGTCTTTTCCAGGCTTGGACTGGAGTTGGTACAGATGTACACTCTTGTCCTTTTGACCCAGACCAATGAGAACTCTAGTGGGTCTAGGGTTGTACACTTTGTCAGTGATCAAAATAGGGGACGCAAGAGGCCACTGTGGGACCTTGCCTGGCTTATTTTAGCACCGAATTTACTATGCTGACAAAGCTAAAAAACATCAGGTATCACAAGCTTGAAGAAGCTGGAATTCTCTGCTGCTCCATTATCAAGAGGTTTTATGGCCTCATACCTGTTTCTAAACTGCAGAGGCAATGTATTGATGTGGGTCCATCACATCTGAGCTCATTCCTCTGGTCCTCTCTGCTCCCTAGCAGCGGGCTTGGGAGTGTGTGGATGAACAATGCTCAGAATCAGACCAGTTGCTTGAATTGTTAAGAGAGCTGAGGAACAGGATTGGTCTTCATTTCTGGATTTTTTATGCAAAGCTTGTCTACTTTCTCATATTCCTTTATTTGGGTCAAAGTATTCCACGATTGGACTGAAGTCTTCTTTTTGATATCCATTCCCACTGAACCTCTAGCAACCATTAAGTACACCCACTAGAGTCCTTAGGAAATTAACCCAGGGAAGGTGACTTTTGGTAATGCTAAAAGGAACCCAAAAGCAGCACAAGGAACTCTGGGCATTTGGAGAGAAAGGATTACAAGGGGGTGGGGACTGGGTGAGCAAAGGAAATAGACGGGAAATCATCAGAAGGCCACCTTGACTCTAGGTTAAGGCCAAAGTTTGTGGTTGCCTTTCTATTTTCATGCAGTAATGTTTCCCCAGGAAGACCTGACCATACCAACACTATGATTAGTTATAAGTATGCTATATTGTTGTATTTATTAATTTTTCATTTAACAAGCAATTGTCTTTTTCTTATTTCCTTAAAAAACTGCATCCCTTGATGCATTGTTTTATATTCAAACTTCCCCTTCATATGGCATCTCCTTGAATTACCCAGTATCTTTTGTTGCTGGGACTCTGACTTGGGGAGTCTGACCCAGGGTAGCTTTCCCAGACCTTGGTTGGCTCGAGGGCCAACATTCAGAGAGGAGATTTGGGAGACAATCTTTAATAAAGGGCGGAAGGAAAAGAGTCTTTGAGTAGCCAAGTGGAAGAAGCAGGGACCTTGAAGAGAATCTTCCCAAGTGGAGTGCAGGCACCATGGAACATGCATTGTCCTTAGAGTTTCATAAAACAAGGGACAAGTGCTCAGCAGGATCCTCTAGGAATGGCACAGGGCATCTTCCCTTGTCTAGCACAAGCGTGGTTAAAGCTCTGGTGGAAAGAATGCAAATGAACCCTTGGCCCCGCCCCTGGGACGTTGCCGGCTGCCATTACAGGAAGTGCGTGTCAATCAAAGCTTGACAGGGGAGATAGAGTATTTTATTTTGGAAGCCAGAAGTTTGAGAACAATGACTGGAATTTCCTCTTTCTGTCCAGCAAAGGCTGTTTGTCATTGGGGAGATAAAAGTCCAGGGGTAGGGAATAAAGGTTATCGGGATCTGCGCAAGGCAGAGGCATGTGGGGGGCACGATGCGGGGAGGGGTTATGGAGGAAATCTATTTCAATGCCTGTCATTAAGTTTCCATTAAAAGAACATTCAGTTAGGAATTCAAAAATAATTTAATCTTCCCAGCCAGATGCGCCCAGCTGGACTCTCTGGAGAGAAGCCCTGCAGTGGGGGAGGTCTTGCTCCACCAGGGCCAGGGACATCCTTGCCTGGGATGGGTGTTCTGGAAGCCACCACATCTTTCTGGAGAGTGTGAAACCCCAATACTTGTGCTGTGGTAGAGGGACTTTCAATGTAGGAGTATTTGCAAAGGCTTTACTGTTTTAAACTCTCTTTTAAAAGTTTTATGTACATTTCCGCATTTAAGTTTTTCAGCAGTCCTATTAGGTCAGAATGATCATTCCACCTGTCTTTCACGTGAGCCAGCAGAAATAAGGAACTTATCCAGAGTCCTGAGCTGATAAGTGGAGGGCTCAACTCATCAGTCTTCCTTGAAAACCCTTGAGTTGAAAATCTCTCAAGTCTACATCCTACACAGTGTTGCACTGTGACAGGACTTACTGGGGCCATCTGTCACCTGTACCCCAAGAATGGGATGTGCTCCTGGCTTGCTCTCACACTTTGGGAACATCCATTGTGTTGCACAAGGAGAATCGCTGGCCAAGCTTAGTCAACACTCTGGAACTGCAGTGTGTTTCCAGGAGCTTTGGGTAACCTGACCAATCTGTCTCCAGAAGTACTGTGGGCGTCCTGAGGACCTGCCATTCCTGTTGGTGAACATTTATAATACTATGCACATATGAAGTGCGACTGAAATATATAATGAGTGTTTAAATAAAATCTACAGTAAAAGACCCATTGCCATTAATAGGGCGTTTAGGGAGGGGAAGGGAGAGGAAGGACGGGAAAGAAAAAGTGAGAAAAGAAGGATTAAATGAAAACTTGAGCTTTGTGAAAGGGGAGGGGGAGGGGGCTTGAAAAGAGGGGACAGGAATGGGAGAGAGAAAAAGAGAGGAGTCGAGATGTATCCTGTACAGATACAAATTCCTGACAGTGAATGTGGTCAGTACACATAAAGAAAGAAAGAATAAAAGAAAGTGATTAATAGAGCATGTTGAATACACTTATCCGATCATTCCTGTCACTCTCTGAAGCCATCCTGAAGTCTTCTTTTATGAGTGTATGTATGAAATGTGATACAAGAAGAAGGAGGAGGAGGAGAGGAGGAGGAGAAGGAGGAGGAGGAGAAGAAGAAGAAAATGAAGGAGAAGAAGAAGAGGAGGAGGAGGAGAAGAAGAAGAAAATGAAGGAGAAGAAGAAGAGGAGGAGGAGAAGGAGAAGAAGAAGGAGAAGAGGAGGAGGAGGAGGAGGAGAAGAAGAAGGAGAAGAGGAGGAGGAGGAGGAGGAGGAGGAGGAGGAGGAGGAGGGCCACTGAGTACCGCTGCCCAGCGTCATCGGACGGAAAGACAGGCTGGTAGAAACATTACAGAGCATCTTCATCCCCTTTATTAGTAGGTCTGGCACTGTGAAACCCCTGCCCTTCACCAAAGTCAGAATGACCTTGAAAGGTAACATGTTGAGTCAGCCCAGGACACCAAGACAGCCACCATAGTGTAAGTGATGACACTCATGAAAGAGGACTTCCTGAACTGCTTCAGAGAGAAGCCAGGGTGATGGCCTAAGTGCATTTGAAGCGCGGAGGAGTATTTTGTGGAGATTAATGACAGTATGTCTTTAGCCATAGTACACATTTGGAATTTCAATCATATCTTGTACACACGTCAATATGTATATATATTTGTGCAATGCTGCCTCAACATATACGTACTAATATACTAATTGCATATAATTAAAAGCTATATATACTATTTTATTTCAGTCTCTAAGCTAGAGATATATAAGGTTTCTGGGGGGGGGATGGAACCTCAGTTTTCCTTGATTAACAGGGTCTGCATTCTCTATTTACTTCTGTACTTCTAGGATCAGGAAACCTCCCTACACAAGTCAATAAATGGCTTTTAAGTCAATCAGTAAATGAAACAATGGTTTTCCCAGGACCGTATGGCTAACTGCAGATTTAAACTTTTATCTGCCCTATGAAGTTTTGATCAAGTTATATCATTTGCCAGCAGAGGGACCTTGACAGGCATCTTAACGTTGCTGAGTCTCGGTATCCTTATTAGTAAAGTGGACTTTCAAAATAAGGTTGAAGGGTTAACCGAGTGAGTAATATAGTGAGTGATAGATGGGAAAGTCCCTCTGTAGATGGTCAACGGCAGACAGCCGGGGAGGGCAGGAACAATTGGATTGAGCCCCAAGGGCTGCAGGAGAAGGGAATGGTCCCCGGGAGGTCCCCACCCTTATCTGAAGAAAAGCAAAGGCTGGGGGATCCCCTGGCAGAGATCCGGAGGAGGCCCCCAGGAATAAGCGGCCACACCTTAGGGGCCCACTGAGGTGGGATGAGCTAAGAGATGGCAGTGGAGCAGAATCGTGATCTTTAGAGTGATTTTCAGCCCAACAAATGCTCGTCTGGGGCTCACTGTGAGCGGGGCCCTGGGAATGTCCAAATGAAGGTGCACAGGGATGCGATCCGCTGCCAGCAGGCGTGCAGGGCTGAAGCCTCAGTACCAGCTTGCAAAATTGCTGACTGTGCAGAAGTAAGTCGTTTTTTTGCTTACTCAATGCATACATGTATAATAATTTCAGAAACTGGTTTTGACAATACTGCTAACAAGGAGACTATCGATTGTAGTTTTTAAATTACTTGGCCCTAAAGATTTATGATACAGCCTGCTAGGATGCACAGCGGATGAACTGTTTTCAAATCACTTGTGGCGGTTTTCTCAGTGTGATTTTTGCACCAGGTTGATAAGTTCATTTCTTTCTGTATCTTCCCCATTGTTAGACTGTTTATGATTTTTCTTTATATTTAACTATTCATGATTATAATTTATATGACCTCAAAGTCATGGAACAGAGTGTAGAAGACACTTCCTACCTTCTGTCTAATGCTCTGTTGTCTTCTCTTTCTATGAAGCTACATTCTTATTACTTTTATCCTAGAGCTTTTTAAAAAAATTTACTTTATTTGTCATTGATAAAATACTGACGGTATATATTACAAGGTACAATGTGATGTTTTAGCACACGTATACATTGTGGAGTAACCAGATTAGGGTCTATCACCCTGAAGATTTATTATTTCTCTGTGACGAAAATA